GGGGGCTCTTCAGACCCATGCCCAAGAGAGCCAGGCTGCCCCGACCCCCTCGGCCTCCCACCCTTCACTGTTGAGCGCCCTGGCAGGGCCACTGCCATTACTGCCTGCCAGCCCCCACAGGCGTCGGGGCCCCAGGCAGTGGGAGGGTGGCTGCTGACTCCTTTTTCCTCCCCAGCTGCCAGGGACCTGGTGAGCAAGGAGGGCTTCCGGCGGGCCCGGCACGTGGTGGGGGAGATTCGGCGCACAGCCCAGGCAGCAGCCGCCCTGAAGCGCGGGGACTACAGAGGCTTCGGCCGCCTCATGGTGGAGAGCCACCGCTCGCTCAGGTGAGGCCCTCTGGGCGCCCCACTCCTGCTGGGCCCAGGCTGGCCCAGGCCCACCCCTCGGACATCTTCTCTGCAGAGACGACTACCAGGTGAGCTGCCCGGAGCTGGACCAGCTGGTGGAGGCCGCGCTCGCTGTGCCTGGGGTTTATGGCAGCCGCATGACGGGTGGTGGCTTTGGTGGATGCACGGTGACACTGCTGGAGGCCTCATCTACTCCCCAGGCCATGCAGCACATCCAGGTGGGCAGGTACTGGGGCCTGGGTGGGCAGGAGCGGTGGCTTCCCAGGGCCCTGCCACTCACCCCTGGCCCGCCTCTCTCAGGAGCAGTACAGCGGGACCGCCACCTTCTACCTCTCTCAAGCGGCCGATGGAGCCAAGGTGCTGCCCTTGTGAGGTGCCCCCAGGACCGCACGCAGTGGGAATGCAGGGCCTGCAGGCCAGTCCCACAGCTCTGTGCCAGTGCCACCTTCCATATCTGGGTGCTCAATAAACTTGTGCCTCCAGCGTGGAACCTGCCTGCCTCTAGAGGTGGGTGTCTGCTTGGGCGTCAGAGAAGGAGGGTGTCAGGACAGCTCCCCTACCCTAGGGGAGCACCTCTCAGGCCGCAGAAGAAAGGGCAAGGCAGGGCCTCGCAGTAGCAAAACCTTTTATTAAGTGCAGAACAAAGGCTGGGTCTCTGTGCTGCTCCCAGCTCTTTGGTTACAAATAGGTTTGGGCCCAGAGAGGAGGGACCTTGCCCACCTCATGCCTCCCAGAGGACACCTGGCACCTGCTCTGTGCATGCAGGTGGGCTGGGCAGGCCCCCAGGGGTGCAAGGATGGAGTAGCTGAGGAGGCTCTGGGAGAGGAGCAGGGAGGAGGCCTGGATTCCAGGACATAGCAGGGGTGGGGTGGGGTGGGGTGAGGGGGGTCAGGTTTGGAAGAACTGTTGGTCCACCTGGCTGCTGAGGGTTCCACTGGTGGTCAGTGTCCGGCTCACAAACTCCTGGGTCACATGGCGGGTGAGGGAGCCACCTGCCTCCAGGTGCTGGGCCCCCAGGGTCAGTCCGTCTGTGGAGGAGGTGGCAGTGGCTGACCCGCCTGGGGTCTGCCCCTCTCCCTCTGCAAACTCCCTGTCCCGGCAGAGCCGGGACCCCCGGCCCTCAGCGCTCACCCATTAGGAAGGGCTCCATGGCGCTGGTGTGGGTGGTGGTGATGCTGCTGTACTCGCCTTGCAACGGGTGCTGGAAGAGCCCGACGTGGCTGCCTAGCTGTGGGAAGGGGCCTGGGGTGGGCAGATCGGCCGGTCAGAGGGTGGTGCCAGGAGAAGCCACGGCCTGAGGATGGATTGGGGGTGAAGGAAGGGACAGGTGCCCACCTCCGTCCTGGGACTCGATGGTGATGATGCCCTCACGCTCTGGCCCGAAGCCCTCGGTGGTCCTGGCCTGCACCTTGAACTTGTAGGGCACATTCTCACTGAGGCCCGGCACGGTCAGCCGGCTCTCGGGGCTGTCTCCATCCACCCGAAATGTAGTGGCTGTCCCTGAGCAGGGAAGATGCCTTCAGCCTCTGCAGGCCCCTCTCTACCCCTGCCCTGCCCACCCCTGTCCCCAGGGGCGGGCAGCACCTCCTCCTTGGGCCATCTCACAGGTCACCAGGTAGCCGACAATATCCCCATTGGGCCTCCGTGGCCGCTCCCAGCTCAGCTGCAGCGAGTCTGGGCTCAGGGCGGTGAACACCAGCGGGCCTGGGGCACTGGGGGTGCTCAAAGTGAAGGCAGAGCCTGGGGGCAGCAGAGGAAGAACATCAGCGTGTGGGTGGGTGGCGGGCATGATGGGGGCAGTGTGGGGCTGGGGGAGGCAACTCACCTGGCAGGGGACAGAGTGGGCTCTGCGGGTGCACCTGGGACTCAATGGTGATGACGCCCTCACGCTCTCGGCCCCAGCCCTCCTGGCTCTGGGCCCGCACGCGGAACACGTAGGAGTGGTTGGGCAGGAGGTCTTCTACCACCACCGATGTTTGGGCAGGGTTGGGGATGTTGAGCCGATGCACCTCACCTGGGGGGTCATGTGGGGACAGGCAGCAGTGCAGTGTTACTCCCACCCCTGGCCTGATCCCCCTCTTCCCTCAGCTGCCACGGAGACCTAGTTATCACCCACCCAGGACTGGCTGTGGTTTGGGTACAGGTTGGGTACAGTATGGTATGGCTGGTTGTTCAGGTTGTGTACTATATAAGAGTGGAGCCTGGAATCCCACTCATGTTTGGGCAAAATCCCGGTCATGCTGCTTTTAATGTGCCTGCCCAGGGAAGTGGCACTTCCTCATTCCCCCAAAGGCATCTCAGGCCAGCAGAGGCCCTAGGATCTTAGGCCAAAGTGGCCTTGTTATGCAAACATAGCAGAGAATGACCCGGAGAGAGGTTGGGGGGCGGGGCGGTGAGACCTAAGAGGGGTGGGGAATGAGTTGAGACCCTCTCAGGCTGGATGGGGCCTTTTAGAGCTCAAGGGACTTGGGTGGGTTCCTGACACAGCCAAGGTGCCCCGTGTGTCATGCTGGGGCCAGGGCTGTGCCTCACCGCCATTCAGCAGCTGGTACTCCACGCTGTAGCCCTGCAGTGCGTGCTCACACCGTGGCTCCTGCCAGCTCACTCTGAGAGATGTGGGCCCCAGGGCAGAGAACACCAGGCGGGTGGGTGTGTCGGGCACACCAGCAGTCGGGCGAGCGTCTGGGGACAGGAGGCCACAGTCAGCAAGAGATGCAGGGGCTGGGGTCTCAGTGGGAGTCACAGTGCTGCCCCCAGCCTCCCTCCCTCGGCTGGCATGTCTACACTGACCGCTGGCTGGACAACTCACTCACCCTGCAACACCCTGTCCAGGCTGCCCAGCACCTCCTGCACGTCCTCCAGGGGGGTATGGGACCTCGTCTGTGCTAAGAGAGCGTGAGCCCTGTGTGTCTGCCAACCACACCCCTCACCTCAGCTGGCCTGGCCCCTAGCCTGCCCCAGCCCCAGCCCCAGCCCCGCCCCCTGGAAGGGCAGAGGCAGTGTTAGGCGTCAGCACTGATGGTGGGGCAGGTGGTTAGCGCCTGTGGGCAGGCAGGGGTCCTGTGGATGAAATGGAGAGGAAGCGGTGGGCACAGCTGGCGGCTGCTATGGTGGCTGGATGGCAGATGGAGCAGGACAGCGGTGGAGACAGGATGGCCACCCCTGTACTACCTGGGCCCCAGGAGGGCGCTGCTGGCTTCCCAGCCAGGATTATAGAGTCTCGTGGGCCCCTGGAAGAGGGTAACCCTTTCATCTGAGCCCGACTCCGGGACCCCAGGGCCCAGGACAGCGGAAGCCTGCTCCTCCCGTATTCCCAGATGGGAGGGAGGCCTAGGGTGGGACAAAACAAGAGTGAGAGGAGCAGGGAGCGTGCATGCATGTGTGCCTGTGTGTGCGTGCCTGTGTGCATGCCTGTGTATGCATGTGTGTGTATGTCAGCATAGATGTGTGTGTGTGCGTGCACGCATGTGTGTGTGTGTGTGTGTGTGTGTGTGTGTGTGTGTGTGTGTTGTGTGTTGGAGGATGGGCCGTGGGGACAGCAGGCCAAAGCCCGATGCTCCAGGAGCTGGAAGAGAAGGATTAGTGGGAGAGGCAGGGTTGGCTGAGGTCACTCACCGTGGGAGGAGACAGAGGTGAGGGTGGAGTAGTCCCTGGGCAGTGTGGCCGAGTGTGAGTGCTCCGAGCGGGTCAGTGAGTGGTAGTCCCGTGTGAGGGTGGAGGACGTGCTTAGCACGCGGTGGGGCAGGTGTGGGCTCAGGTGGGTGCCATAGGCAGCACTGGACGTGGTCATCCTGTTCAGGGAGTTGGCGCTGCCCGGGAAGGCAAAGTCCATCCGGCCATTCATCAGGTGCTCTGCGGGCAGAGAGCAGGGTCACTTGCTCAGGCCTAGTGGACATGGGCCCTGCAGGGCAGGCTGGGCCTTGGGCATTCCTGGTCACCTACCCTCTGGGTGGCTTTTGCTTAAATACAACCAGTTTCCCTCAAACCACTAGGGACAGAGGCCCTATGTCCCTGGAGGAGCCCAAGGGCCACCCAGGCTTCCACAGCCTGTGTCCTCTGGCGGCCACTATATGGGTGAGAGCTAACCCTGGCGGTGGCCGGGGATTTGCTGCCCCCGCAGTCAGCCGTGCCCTGGGGAGTTCCTGAAGCCTTCCCTCCTGTCCTTTGAGGACCCTGAGGGGTCTACTTGGGTGCCAGGGTCGGCTCCCTGGACAGACTTCTGAATTTGCACCCCCTGGGCAGGCAGGCACCATAAGGGCCCAAGCGTCTGCCTCGGGCGTCCCCTGGCACTGGGCCCTGCCTCTGAGCTGCTGTGGCCCCAGTGGCCAAGGCCCCAGCCTGGCTGAAACACCCGGGGCAGCACAGACGCCCACCCCAGGCCCCCAGACCCTCTGGCGCTAGTGAGTCTGGGTGGGCGCGGACCAGGGTGTGGCGGGTGAACCCTGTCACCTCCGAGGGGCCCCGGTGTCGCAACGCGGGGCAGGCTGCCGCCCTTCCCGCCCGCGCCGCCGTCATCCGGGGGCCCGTAAGGCGCCTCGGCGTCGGAGGAGCGCCCGCTGCTGGCCGACAGGCGCGGGATGAGCTCCGGGGGCAGCCGCCACGTGATGCGACGCAGGTCCAGCTCCTCCCCCAGCAGAGGCTCGAACTTCCAGCCGCAGCCTTGGGAACAACGAAGGGCCGCGTTGGCACCGCCTGGGGGCGCTGGGCCGAGTAGGGCCAGGTGGGGGAAGGCCGGAGACGCTGCAAAGGGAGCCCGTCTCCGGCTCCCGGGATCCCTGGGTGAGTGATGGGGGCGGGGGTAGATGCGCACGGCCCGGCGGGCCGCGAAGCCCCGCGGCAGGTGAGACCCTTGCACGGCGGGAGCCTTTCCAGATGAGCGAGTGTAACCTTGGCACAGCTGGAGAGGAGAGACCCCTGGACCTGCCAGGAGACCTGGGGGAAGCCTAGGCTCTGTCACCAGTTGTGAGGTCTCCCTTGCCTTACTTAACCTCTCCGAGACTCAGTTTCCCGTCTGTACAATGGAGGGAGGAATCTCGCCCCTGCCTGCCTCCCAGGGACCGTTCTGCAAGCCACCCAGTGCTTCGAAGATAGTGTTAGAAGCAGCTGAGCTGGGGTTCCAGAGTCATACCAGCTGCGCTCCACCTGAGCCTCTCAAAACAGCTCCTTAAGCCCAAGCTCAGCTCCGTGGGGCCAGTATGTGTTCATGGGGTGGGGCAGGTGTGGAAGCATAGGCAGGGACGGGAGAAAATACAAATGACATACACGCTGAAGAGGCTTTTCCACTCATGGTACTGTGTGATTGGTATCCATTATACAGATCAGAAAACTGATGCCCCGAGAGGCTAAGTGATTCATCTGATGTTCCACAGTGGAGCCAGAGCTGAAACTGAGCACTCAGGAGCCCCAGCTAAGGGCTCTGCAGCAGGCTGCTGGGAATCAAGGAGGAAGGACAGAGCCAGTGGGGGGTGTTCTTGTCTCCTTGGCTTCCCCACCCCTGCCAGGCGGCTGTATTATTATACAGTAATAAAAATACTATATAAGTAATGAAATGTAAGTAAGGCAAGGGAGACCTCCCAGCTGGTGACTGTGAGGCTGCTTAGGGCTCCTGGGCCAGGCCTGCCCCTGGGGGGGTGACCTGAGTTCCTGCGTCCATGGCACAGCTGGTGAACCTTCAAGTTGTAGAGATGTGCACACCATCACATTCGTCCTAGGCTGTCTTAACCTCCATGACCCCTGGTTGCTGGCCCCTTTGCTCTCTCTGGACCCCGTGGATTCACTCCGTACCCCAGGCCCCCACTGTCTTCTTGTAGGTCCCAGGCCCACTCACCAGTGTCATCAGAGACGCTGGGCCTCTGGCTGCCAGACGGAGAGCGTAGAACGTCATCGCTGTACATGAGGAAGCTGTCATAGTCCTCCCCGCTCTGGGCGTCCACGATGGGAATGTCGGGAATGATGGGGACTGCAGGGCAGGGGAGTGAGCCAGGGCACTGGCTGCTGCCCTCTGTCCCCCTACCCCATCTGCCCCTCACCTCTCTGCCCACCACTCACTGGACATGGGCCGCTTGGGCTGGGTGGCCAGGTTGATGATGGCCTCCCGCTCGGGCCCCCAGCCCGCCCCATTGCGCGCCTTCACCGTGTAGCGGTAGGGCTGGGACTCCCGCAGGTTCTCGATGAGCAGCATCCGGTTCTTAGGATTGTCAACCAGCACCTTCTTCATGGGTCCAATGGGTCCTGGGGCAGGGAGAGTGCTTCAGAGGGTCACCCAGGTTGCAGCCTGGTCCCAGTACCACCCCAGACACAGCGGGACCGCCGTGCCTCCCCTGAATGGCACCCAGAGGCTGGGGAGCAGAGCAGAGTGAGCCACTGCTGAACTGCCACCTGCAGAGCCCTGAGAGTCAGCATGACTGGTGTAGACACCTGTCACCAGCCCTCCAAGGGACTCTGCTGAGTAAGTGGCAGAGCCAGGGCTGGACTCAAGTTGGCTCTGATGTCCACCTCTCCCGATATGTCTATGGTGCCTCCACACGAGGTGACGGCATGCAAAGGGGGTCGCCCACCCCTGCCTCCCTTCCAGGACTGGCGAAATAACCGTTCTGCCAGGCACTCTGATCTTGGGCTACCAGATAAAATACTGTATAAAATCATACTTTTTTTTTTTTTTTCTTTTTTTTTTTTGAGATGGAGTCTGGCTCTGTCACCCAGGCTGGAGTGTAGTGGCACGATCCTGGCTCACTGCAACCTCCACCTCTCAGGTTCAAGCAATTCTCCTGCCTCAGCCTCCTGAATAGCTAGAACCACAGGCATGAGCCACCATGCCTGGCTAATTTTTTTTTTTTTTGTATTTTTTAATAGAATCGGGGTTTCATCATGTTGGCCAGGCTGGTCTCGAACTCCTGACCTCAAGCAATCCACCCACCTTGGCCTCCCAATGTACAAAATAATTTTTTTTTTTTAGATGGAGTTTCGCTCTTGTTGCCCAGGCTGGAGTGTGATGGTGTGATCTCAGCTCACCACAGCCTCCGCCTCCCAGGTTCAAGCGATTCTCCTGCCTCAGCCTCCTGAGTAGCTGGGATTACAGGCATTTGCTACTATGCCTGGCTAATTTTTGTATTTTTAGTAGAGACGGGGTTTTGCCATGTTGGTCAGGCTGGTCTCAAACTCCCCACCTCAGGTGATCTGCCCGCCTTGGCCTCCCAAAGTGCTGGGATTACAGGCGTGAGCCACTATGCCCTGGCCAGAATTTTTTTTTTTTTTTGAGACGGAGTTTTGTTCTTGTTGCCCAGGCTGGAGTGCAATGGCATGACCTCGCTCACCGCGACCTCTGCCTTCCAGGTTCAGGTGATTCTCTTGCCTCAGCCTCCTGAGTAGCTGGGATTACAGGCATACGCCACCACGCCTGGCTGATTTTATATTTTTAGTAGAAATGGGATTTCCTCCATGTTGGTCAGGCTGGATCCCAAATCTTTTAAAGTGCTATCTGAAATTCACAGCCTCCTGTATTCCTGTTTGCTAAATCTTAACTTTCCTCTCGCCCCAGGAAAACCATGCAAGCATGAGCTCCCTGGTTACCTGCTTGGGCAGGGATGCCCCTGGGCCTGTGACCCCACTCCGCATAGGTAACCACCTGCCCTTCAGGCTTCTGGGTTTGGCCTTAGGACACAATCCAGCCCAAATCTGGCCAAAACGCTAAGGATGCCTCAGGCTTATCTGCTGACCAGGATGAAGGCCTTGAGTGCCCTGCACAGGAGGTCCAGGAAGTGACCTGGAGCTCCCTCCATCTTGGCCCCTCCCCTTCCACAGCTGTTGTCCCCGCAGGCAGGAAGGGAGGATCTGGTTCTTACGGTTGTCCTCGTTGACCAAGCCGTAGCAGACCTCGTAGGCTGTGATCTCACCGTTGGTCTCAGCCGGCTCAGCCCAGCTCAGCTGGGTCACCGTGGAGGAGACGACATTGAAGGCCAGACGCCCTGGCTCGCTGGGCACTGGGGAGCGGAGGATACAGAAAGAGTGCTGTCAGTGGCAGAGGGAGGGAGTGCAGGTTAGCCAGGGGACAAATGGACAGACATGGTGAGGCCTCACCTTCCTGGTGGGTTCGGCAGGACACCGGGGAGCTGTAGGGTCCCTCGCCTTGAGCCCCGTAGGCACACACCTTCATCTCATAGTCGCAATACGGGTACAGGTTGGTGAGCTCCACTGAGGGCACCTTGCTGTCGAGCAGGTGGGCTTCGGACTCGGGGTCACCCTGAATCCAGTACTTTACCTGCCCCCCCCCAGGGACAGGGTCCTGGTCAGGGGGAAGCAGCAAGGACCCACACTGCCTGTCACTCCGATGACCTCTGCCTTACTGTCCTCTTTGCACAGATGAGAGACACTGAGGCCTGAGGGAGGGTCTGAGAGACCTGTCATGTGCATGCATCAGGACTGAGGCAGAGTGGGGGGATCTCCCACTCTGGGGAGGGAGGGGGTCCCATTCAAGGAAGGAGGGCAAATGTCTGATAAACTCAGGAATGGGTCTTCCCTCTTCCCCAGCACAGACCAGGTTTCCCGTTGACCACTTGTGCTAGGGTCCACTGTCACCACTCTCTCAGGGGACCCTGGCCTCCGACGGCCCACCTCTCCAGGGAGTGCTGATGCCAGACCGCCCATCCACCTGTCATGGCCCTCAGCCCCCCACCTTACCCTGTACCCTGTTGGCTTGCCAGAAGGGGGCAACCAGTTGAAATGGATCTTCCTGGACCCAGCGGCCTTAGCATTGGGGTTCTGCGGGGCGCCCAGGTTGCCATGAGGGGGTGGCTGTGATGACACCATCTGATTCGTGAAGCTCCTGTCCACCTCATCTAATGGGTCAAGTTGGGGCAGGGCAGCTGGTTCAGACCCCACTTTGCCACCAGGAGGCGCCAGAGACCCACTTAAACACCCAGGGCTCCCTGCCCACCCGCCGTCTCCGGGGACATGGTACCCCATTGCTGCCACATAGGGCATCCTGTCAAGCTTGGCAGAGGGCCCAGGAGGGTCTCTGGAGAAACAGAAGGAGGAAGGAATTGGTTTGCCCCTTTCTCCCTTGACAGCTCAGGGAACATTCCACATGGGAACATTTGCTCCCCACCCCATCTCCACACAGTACCCTGAGTATTTCCCTCCTTTCCCATCTTCCCAGCAGGCCTTCTCCCAGCTGGGAGGCTGAAGGCTGAGAGGAACTAACTGGCCCACCCCTTTCAGGAGCCACCTGCATGTTAGAACGGAGGCTGGGGTCGGATGGGAGAATTCCTATTGTGTGGTGACAACATGATCTCAGCCTCTCTGGCTATAGGGTTGCCAGATAAAATTCAGGATGCCTGGTTACATTTGAATTTCAAATAAACAGCAAGATTTTTTTTTTTTTTTTTTTGAGACGGAGTTTC